TTCCTTCCTTCCTTCCTTCCTTCCTTCCTTTCTTCCTTCACAGCCAGATACCACCAGTGATGGAGGAATTGGCCTGTCAACACCACTTTGAGCAATGTCTAGAGTGACAGTGTTCTGGGAATGTCACTGCATGACTATATGTAGCTGAAATCATGAAGCTGTCATGGCTGAATGTACAGTGTTTGCTATTTCTTTAGTCCAGTAGTCATTCATGATCCACACACATCTGCAAACCCTGGGCAGGTGAAATGGGCCAGTCTGTTGGTGCTCCTCCTTTTCCCACAAAGCAGTATATGAGAGTCAGCCAGTGAAGAGTAGCTTTGTTCAGACATACTATGCAAGTACTCCACCAGCCCTCAGTAATTACGGGCTTCACACCTAAGCTCTACCAACTGTGGGTCAAAAATATTTTTTGAAAACTATGTCTGGACTGAACATTTACAATTTTTTTTCTCATTCCCTAAGCAATACAGTAAAACAACATAACATCTACACTGTATTAGGTTTGTAAGTAATTTATAGATGCTTCAAAGTACAGAATCCTGCGACCAGAATTGTGGAAAGAATTAAGTTTGTGAACCCAGGAACGACTGTATAGGGAGAGTGAGTGTAAGTTACATGCAGAGACTATCCTACTTTATTTAAGCAATTTGAGCATCCACAGAGTTTAGTATCTGAGGTAGGGTCCTGGAGTCAGTGCCTTGCAAATACAAAGGGGTGACTGTGGCTGGTGTTCAGTACAGAGTAAAAAAATGGAGAAAGACAAGACGGTGGGAGGTGGGGTAGGGGCAGGTCCCTGAGCCAAAAAAAGAGGCTAACTTACAGATGAAAAGATTACTGTAAATTTCCATATTGCAAAGTGCTGTCCTTGTCAGCACAGAAGCTGGCCTCAGGACTTCAGAGCACTGCGTTAACTCAGGAGTGGATGCTGAATAGGAATTTTGTATTCTCTGTTCTATTAGACATGCACTATATAAGCATACATGGAACTTGTTATTATTGCGTTACTTACCAAAGCCCAAATTTAGCCTAGAAACTACTTGCTTTTTTGTTCCAAGGCTGTATTTTAAATGCATGTGTAATATCACTCGTGTTCTGTAAAGTCAGTGCTTTGGAATGTTTGTGGGAAGTGGATAATTTCTACATGCCGGTGTGGGGTGGAGCTGATCTTGCTCCTCTGGTGGGCCCTGTACTCTGGCTCAGCCAGAGTAGATGCAGTATACTGTGTCTCCCATCTTAGGAGAGCTATTCATTTCTATGTTAAAACCAAAGGGGAGTTCTGAGGTTCCCCATGGGAGGACAGATTGCAATTATAGGTAATCTCAAGTGGGTTTTCAATAACAGGGTAGAAAATCCATGCGCACTTGCCTTGTACTTACCAGGCTGCCCTGTTATGTGTAACTGGGGGTGAGGGTGCAGTGCTGTACCAAACTTTCCTTGGAAAGAGTCAGCAAAGCAGTCTGAGGAATGTGGTGTGTTACCATGGAGACATGGTGCCTAACTGTCAGGTTTTTTTTTTTCTTCCTGGTCCCCGGAATTGAACTCAGGGCCTTGTGCTTGCCAGGCAGGCACTACACCACTGAGCTAAATGTTCAGCCCAGGTCAGTTTCTTGAGTGGTGTAGGTCAGGGAGACTGATGAGCAGATACACTGGGTATGTGTCTGGTTTCTGGAACTTGTATGGGGGGGTGCACACATGCACAGGAGTGTGTATAGAGGTGTGTACACGTGTGCATGATGACTTCTGAAATTTAGCAGAGTGAAAGACTCTGAGGCTAACCAGCTAAAAAATAAGAATAGGATCCCCAATTGTAAGCCTTGTTATAGTGTTATCTGTGAATTCTGTGAGAACTTTGGATGTAGCTTGTGGCAAGTCTGGGCATCTTCACCTCCTGGCCAGCCAGTCACCTAGACATCATCCCAAGCTCCAGTTACTTCATCTACAACATGATGAGTGTTAGTTCTTAATGCTGTTTTGTGCTTTTGTCCCCTTTGAATGGAGGGACACTCCCTAGAACAGGGCATGTGTAAGTGCCCAGACAAGAGCATTAGAGGCAACCAGCCATCTGCTGGATTCTAAGCGGCTCATGGTGAATCACACTGAGAAGCATCCCTCCCTGTCAGGTGGAGGTTGCTTGTCTCCTAGATTCTTTGCATTTTACAAGGTAAAGACTAAACACAGAGGTGGCAGAGACCAATGAGGGAAAGTGCATTTGAATAGGATGCACAGGGGATTGGGGTGCAGTTGGGCTGATGGCACAAGTGCTTCATGAAGTGTACCATTCTGGTATTCATTGTTCCCTTCCTACCATGGGAGTGAGTTCCTGCCTTCATCAAC